AATCTTGATGGCTGCTGACTGATCAGGGTGATGGTTGGTGAACATTGGGGCAGGTTTGGCAATTCCTTAAAAGAAGACAACAATGAAATTTGCTAAATTGATTGGCTGTTCCTTTCATGAACAATTTCTCTGTAGCATGCGATGCTGTTTGACAGCATTTTGCCCACAGTAACTTCTTTCAGAATTGGAGTCAGTCCTCTCAAAACCCTGCTGCTGCTTTATCAGCTAAATGTATATACTATTTTAAATCCTTTGTTGTCATTTCAATAATCTTCACAGCATCTTCACCAGGAGTAGATTCATCTCAAGAAACCATTTTCTTTGCTCATCCATAAGAAGCAACTCGTCATCCATTAAAATTTTATCCTGAGATGGCAGCAATTCAGTCACATCTTCAGACTCAACTTCTAATTCTAGTTCTCTTGTTGTTTCCACCACATCTGCAGTGACTGCCTTCACTGAAGTCTTGAATCCCTCAAAGTCATCCATGAGGTTTGGAATCAACTTCTTCCAAACTCCTGTTAATGTTGATATTTGACCTCTTCCAATGAATCATGAATGTTCTTTTTTTTTTTTTAATTAATTAATTAATTTATTTATTTATTTGAGACAGAGAGAATGAGAGAGACAGAGAGCACATGAGAGGGGATAGGGCCAGAAGACGAAGCAGACTCCCTGCTGAGCAGGGAGCCCGATGCGGGACTCGATCCAGGGACTCCCGGATCATGACCTGAGCCGAAGGCAGTCGCTTAACCAACTGAGCCACCCAGGCGCCTGAATCATGAATGTTCTTAATGGCATCTAGAATGGTGAATCCTTTTCAGAAGGTTTTCAAATTACTTTGCCCAGATCAATCAGAGGAATCACTATCTATGGCAGCTATAGCCTTATAAAATGTATTTCTTTTTTTTTTTCCAGAAGAGAAAAGCTCTTGTTAGCATTTAATGAACCTACCCCCCCCCCCAAACGTAGCTTCAAGCTACTAGAACGCAGGCACCCCCAACACCCTTAATCTTCTCCTCTGCTCTTCTACTGAAGAATTTGGCCTTCATGATGACAGGCTGTTTGCGGAGTTTTCCCTTTCCCAACACTTTGTAGTAGCCCGATCACACCACATTAATGATAGGAGCAGCTCCAGTCTTGTTTTTGGCAGCATTTACCCATGTCTGCTCACTGACTAAGGTCCACAGTTTATCAAGGTTGACAGTTGGGCAGAAGCTCTGGTTCCTCTTTAAGTGGTAATGTCTCATACCAACTTTTCCAAAGTAACCTGGGTGATATTTGTCGAAGTTGATCCTGTGGTGATGCATGCCACCAGCATTACCCCAGCCTCCTGGGTGCTTCTGGTGCTTGCCGATGCGGCCGTGGCCGTGGCTTATGTGGCCCTGAAGTTTCCGGGTCTTCCTCAGTCCGGATGGCATGTCGGCAGCCCAGACAGAAAAGCATAAAATGTATTTCTTAAATAATAAGATTTGAAAGTCTAAATTCCTCCTTGGTCCATGGGCTGCAGAATGAATATTGTGTTAGCAGTCACAAACCATGAATCTCACTGTCCATCTCATCAGCGCTCTCAGCTGACCAGGTGCATTGTCAGTGAGCAGTCGTGTTTTAAAAGGAATCTTTCTTTCTGAGCAGTAGGCCTCAACAACGGGCTTAAAATATTCACTAAACCATGTTGTAAAACGAGTGTGCTGTCATTTAGGCTTTGTTGTTCCATTTATAGAGCACAGGCAGAGCAGATTTGGCATAATTCTTAAAGGCCCTAAGATTTTCAGAATGGTAAATAAACATTGCCTTCAGGGCGCCTGGGTGGCTCAGTCAGTTAAGTATCTGCCTTTGGCTCAGGTCATGATCCCGGGGTTCTGGGGTCGAGCTCCATGTCAGGCTCCCTGCTCAGTGGGGAGTCTGCTTCTCCCTTTCCCTCTGCCTCTGCCCCTGCTCGTGCTCTCACTCTCTCTCTCTCTCAAATAAATAAATAAATAAATAAATAAATAAATAAATAAAATCTTTAAAAAAACCCACAAAACATTGCCTTCAACTTAAAGTCACCAGCTGCATTAGCCCCTAACAAGAGAGTCAGCCTGTCCTTGGAAGCTTTGAAACCAGGCATTGATTTCTCTTCTCTACCTATGGAAGTCCTAGGTGGCATCCTCTTCCAATAGAAGGCTCTTTCATCTGCATTGAAAATCTGTTGTTTAGTGGAGCCACCTTCATTAATTATTTTAGCCAGGTTTTCTGAATCACTTGCTACAGCTTCTACATCAGCACTTGCTGCTTCACCTTCAACTTTAATATTATGGAGATGGCTTCTTTCCTTAAACCTCATGAACTGACCTTTGCTAGTTTCAAACCTTTCATCCGCCTTCTTCACCTCTCTCAGCCTTCATAGAATTGAAGAGTTAGGACTTTGCTCTGGAGTAGGCTTTGGCCTAAGAGAATATTATGGCTGGTTTGATCTTCTAACCAGACCACTTAGACTTTCTCCATATCAGCAATAAGGCTGTTTCACTTTCTTCTCATCTGGGTTTATTGGAATAGCACTTTTAATTTCCTTCAAAATTTTTTTCTTTGCATTAACAGCTTGGCTAACTTTTTGGCACAAGAGGCTTACTTTTCAGCCTCTCTTGGCTTTCAACATGCCTTCTTCACTAAGCGTAATCATTTCTAGCTTTTGATTTAAAGTGAGAGGGGCACCTGGCTGCCTCAGTCAGAAGAGCATGTGACTCTTGATCTCGGGGTTGTGAGTTTGAGCCCCACATTGGGTGTAGAGATTACTAAAAATAAATAAATAAACTTAAAAAATATGAAGTGAGAGACCTATGACTCCCTTTCACTTGGAACACTTAGGGGCCATTGTAGGGTTATTAGTTGGTCTACTTTCAATATTGTTGTGTCTCAGAGAATAGGGAGGCTCAAGGAGAGGGAGAGAGATGGGGGAATGACTGGTCAATAGAGCAGTCAGAACAGATACAATATTTATCAATTAAGTTGGTTCTCTTATATGGGCATAGTTTGTGGCACCCCCAAACAATTACAATACTAACATTAAAGATCACCGATCAGGGCGCCTGGGTGGCTCAGTTGGTTAAGCGACTGCCTTCGGCTCAGGTCATGATCCTGGAGTCCCTGGATCGAGTCCCACATCGGGCTCCCTGCTCGGCGGGGGGTCTGCTTCTCCCTCTGACCCTCCCCCCTCTCATGTACTCGCTCTCATTCTCTCTCTCTCAAATAAATAAATAAAATCTTAAAAAAAAAAAAAAGATCACCGATCATAGGTCACCATAACAAATAAAATAATAATGGAAAAGTTTGAAGTATTGCAAGAATTACCAAAATGTGACACACAGACACAAAGTGAGCAAATGCTATTTGAAAAATGGCACCAATAGACTTGCTCAATGCAGGGTTACCACAAACCTTCAATATGTAAAAATGCCTGTGAAGTACTATAAAACATGTATGCCTATAGTTTTCCTCTATTCTTTATTCTTTCTGTCCTGCTTTCTTTCGGTTTACTCTTTTTTTTCCTAGTTTTTGAAGGCAGAGATTATGTTATCAATTTGAGATCTTTTTTAATATAGGCATTCGTAGCTGTAAATTTTCCTCTAAGCACTGTTTTGGTTGTGTCTCATATGATTTGACATATTGTGTTTTAATCTTCATTTATCTTAAAGTATTTTCTAATTTCTCTTGTGATTTCTTCTTTGACCCATTGGTTATTTAGGATTGTGTTGTTTAATTTCCTTGTATTTATGATTTCCCCAAATTTCTTTCTGTTATTAATCTCTAATTTATTCCCTTTGTAGTCAGAAAAGATACTTCGTATTATTTTAATCATGTTAAATCTATTGAGACTTATATTGTGGCCTAGCATAGGATCTATTGTGGAGAATGTTCTATATGTGCTTTAGAAAAATGTATATTCTGCCGTTGTTGGGTAGAGTGTTTTATACATATCTATTAAATTTAGTTGGTCTATAGTGCTGTTCAAGTCTTTTATATCCTTTTTTTCCTGCCTCATTGTTCTATCCATTATTGAAAGTAGAATATTGAAGTCCCCAACTATTATTGTTAAATTGTCTATTTCTCCCTTCAATTCTGTCTGTTTTTGCTTCATATAGTTTTGGGCTCTGTTGTTAGGTTCATATATGTTTACAATGATCTTGTCTGACTCTTTTATCATTATAAAATATCCTTTATCTCTAGTAATATATTTTGTCTTCAAGTCTATTCTACTATCAGTATAGCCACTCTAACTCTCTTATGGTTGCTGTTTGCATAATACATCTTTGTTGTTGTTGTTGTTCTTTCAAGCTCTTTGTATCTTTGAAACTAAAGTGTATCTCCTGTAGAAAACATACAGTTGGGTCTGCCACCTCTGCCATTTTGCTTTTTTGGGGAGGGGGTATATGACTCATAGCTACTTTATTTCTCTCTTCCTCCTTCATTTAGAATTTATTTTTGTAAATGGTCGAGGTGGTTTAGCATCTAGACAGATAACTATGCTAGCTAGCACCATGTTTTAAAAAATAGCCCTTTTCTACTGAATTGTAATACCTTCTTTGTCATATGTACTGTTCCCATATATAGTTCACTAAGTTTATGCAATTTCTATTCTGTTCATGGATCTGTCTTCTCTTGTGTAAATACCTATTGTTTGGTTTTAGCCACTTCACAGTAAATTTTAATGTCTGCTTGTAGCAAGTCCCTCTTTATTTTTCTTGTTTTTTAAAATTATCTCGGATATGCTCAGACATCAATTGCTCATGTAAATCTTTGAAATCAAAAAGAAAACACCAGTGGTAATCCTTTTAAAATTTCACAATACAGTCACACACATATGTACATACACAAACACTGACCACCTAATAACAGGGTATGTGTGAAGTTAGGCAATTCATTTGAAGTAGAATCTGGTAAGTGGTAATATAACACATTAAAACAAGACACAATGGGATGATTTATGTGTCTTTCACCTAATAATTGTTTTGTTACCGTAGGGTGAATGTTATTGAAAGTAGTGCCATCAGGATATTGAAAGAGAGAATGATTTCACGAAAAACTGACCTCATTCATGCTTTCCAACTTCAAGACTGCAGTAAATCAGGTAATAAAATTATGTAATGCTTACTATTTCTTAACATACCAGCTTACATACAAATCAGTTTTCTTTTTCTTTTTCTCTCTTTTTTTTTTTTGCTCCCTTAAGATTTCAGTTTTCTATTTTTACTAGCGAGGAAAGACAGATAAAAATAAAATGTAATCCATTATGTACTCGAAAAAAGCCATATTCCTCCTTTGCAGTAAGTTTCTTTCAACTTAAAACAACAACAACCCTTCTATTCTGGTAGTATCTCAGACTAGGTACTCTGTAAGGCCCTCCTAAGAGACAGCTAGATTCTAGAGGATACAGAATTTTAATGCATCTACCAGCCTCACAGTAAGATAAATATCTAGGAAACATTCTATTTCCTCAGGAAAGGTTTTTTGAAACCACATGTGGGGGCATGAGCAACAAGCAAGCACAACATGGTAGATTGTCCTGAGGGCAAATGCTAATTTTGGTGTAACACTCAACCCTAAGACTAAACCATGGGACAATAGAAAGATGGATAAGCTGGATCTGAGACTTCTGCATTAAGCCTGGGCCCTCAAAGTGGCTATGGTAGGCCTATGTTTGTAGTGCCCCCTGAGTCTTGGCAAACAAATGCAAATCCATGTTCAAGGGATGCATCCCTAATTTTGGCCACTAATATATCCAGAGATTAAGATCAACCACGAGCTCATAACCAAAGATCATGAAACACACAAGGAGACAAGCTACCATGAGTTAAGAGTCAACAGAAACAACAAACTACAGATTTAGTTCCCTAAAGACATCAGATATTAGAATTATCAAATACAAATACAAACAACTAAGAAATGAAACAAACAAACAAACAAACAACTAAGAAATGTTTAAAGAAATAAAAGATGGAATTGCAGACATGCATTTGAAAATGATTTGATGAACCAAATAGCTATAAAAATATACTTGTTTAAAAAAACATAGTGGATGGGTTAAACAGAAGATTAGACATTGCTTAAGAAAGAATTAGAAAGATTAAGAGTTATGGACAGTAAAATAAAGTCTAACATACATCTACCAGGAGTCCCAGGAGGAGAGACTATAAGAGAGGATATATTTGACATGATTATGGCTGAGACTTTTCCAGAACTGATGAGCAACTCACATTCACAGGTAGAGAGGCACAGTGTTTCTCAAACAGGATAAAAAAATTAAATCCACACCTATACACACTTGTGGAGAAACCACAGAGCACCAACAGCAAATAAAAATATCTTAAAAGCAGATAGAAATACACGTTGCTACAAAGAGAAAACAACTGGACTGTTACCAGACTTCTCAATAGTTGCAATAGAAGCCAGTAGACAGTAGAATCGTATATACCAAACGTTGAAAATAAAATTTAGAAAAAGATATAACATGAAAATACTAACAAAACCAAAGTTGTAACAGCTCTATTAATATTAGACAAAGTAGACTTCAAGGAAATATACATTACTAGAAATAAAAAGGGACACTTTATAATGATAAAGTATTCAGTTTGCCAATTGAATCCATTCTAAATGTGTACGTACTTCTTAATATAGCCTCAAAAATATGTTTAAAAAAATTAACAGAACAAATAAAAGTAGAAAAATCTACCATGATATTGAGAGATTTTAATACTCCTTTAACTAAAAGAATTAAGTGCCAACAAGATTAGCAGACTTTCCCTAAAAGACGTATATAGAGCCCTGCACCCAACATTGCAGAATACACATTTTAGTCAAGCACAAATGGAACACTTACAAAAATTGATTATAAACTGGAACAGAAAGCAAATCTCAACAAATTTTGTATAAGAAACATACAGAATAAATTTTCTGTCATAGTAAGTTGACAGAAGGTAGCCAGAAAATTACCTGGGGCTTAGAAATGAGAAATACACTTCTAAATAACCCTTAGATCAAAGGAGAAATAACAGTGGAAATTAGAATTCTGCAACTGAATGAAAATGAAAATGCAACATATTGAAATTTATAAGATGCAAGTTAGAGAAGCACTGAACATGCATATACTTTAATATTTTAAAAGATGAAACTATGGGGGCGCCTGGGTGGCTCAGTCGTTAAGCGTCTGCCTTTGGCTCAGGTCAGGGTCCTGGGATTGAGCCCCGCATCAGGCTCCCTTCTCAGCAGGAAGCCTGCTTCTCCCTCTCCCACTCCCCCTGCTTGTGTTCCCTCTCTCACTGTCTCTCTCTGTCAAATAAATAATTAAACAAATAAAAGATAAAAAAAGTAAAAGGCGATACTATGATCAACAAAGTAAAAAAATAAAGATTCTTTAAGAAACTGATAAAGTTGATAAAACATTGGTAAGGAGACAGAGAAATAACAATGCCAGAATTGAAAGGAGAGGTGTTACTACAGATTTTACAGATATTAAAAAGTTCATAAGATGTATTATAGAAACTCTTATGCTAGTAATTAATACTTTAGATTAAATGGGCAAATTCCTAAAATATGTACACACACACACACACACTCCCTTACCAAAACTGACACAAAAAGAAATAGAAAATCTAAACAATCCTATAACTGTTGAAGAAAATGGATCTGAAATTTTGAAACTTGCCCCAAAGAAAGCTTAGTTCAGATAGCTTCATTAGCCGTTATAATATACATTTAAGAATAAGACCAGTATTACACAAACTCTTCCAGAGAATGTAAATAGAAGGAATATTTCCAAGATTATTTTAGGAGGTCAGCATAATCTTGATACCAAAACCTCACAAAAACTTTATGGAAAAGGAAAATTAACGGCTAATCTCACTCATAAATTTAGATGAAAAAAATCCTAAATGAAATATTAGCAAAAGGTTAAAATATCACAACCAAGTTTGGTTTATTCTAGAAATGTTAGGAATTCTAGGTTGTTTTAACATTCAGAAATCAATCAGTGTAATTCACTGAAAACGGAGGAAGGTGCCTCAAGTCAAGGAATATAGGCAGCCTTTAGAATTTGAAAAGGGAAAGAAAATGGATCCTCCCATCAGAGTTTCCTAAAGGAACCAGCCCTGCTGACACTTTGACTTGGCCCAGCAAACAGATTTTGGGCTTCTAATCTCCAGAACTTTAAGAGAATAAATTTGTGTTATTTTAAGCCACTAAGTCTGTGGTAATTTGTTACAGCAGCAGTAGGAAACGAATACAGATATCTACTCTCAAGATTGTTCAACATTGTACTAGGGATGCTAGCTACTGCAATAAGGCAAGTTAAATAAGATGATAAGAATTAGAAAGGAAGAAATAAAATGTTACTATGTGTAGACAACATAACTGAGTATACAGAAAACCTAAATAAAGACCCAGAAAAACTCTTAGAATTAATAAGTGAATTTAACAAGTTGTAGAACACAAGGTCAATACACAGAAATTGATTGCATTTCCATATTGGTTAGAGTCTGTTGAGCCAGAAACCACAGCAATAATTTGAACAGAGAAATTTAATATAAAGAATTATTAACTAGTAAAAGGTGATTAATTACTAAAATGGCTAAAAGAGAACTCTAAAGAATATAGGAATAGAAATTATAGAGAGCAGCTACTATCTCTATGGCTGAGAAAGTGTACCCAAGGAAGGAACAAACTTGGAAGAGTCCCCTACAGTCACCAAGGCTAAGATTCAGATCTCATTGGAGAGGGAGTGACTATGGCCCACTAGATGGGGTAGAAGTTCACTGAGGTGTCTCATGTCAAAGCTGGTCTATAGCTGGTGAACCAGGACTGAAGAGGGTGGAGCTACCCACTGGGGTGCCAGCAAAACCCTCTTTGGGCTGTGTACCACTGAGTCTCCAACACACTCCTGGCAAGGAAGCTATTCTCTGTGGTGTCAGTGAAATTGATTAGATAGTGGGTGCCAATGCATTTCCCACACACCTCTGGCAACCATGCTGTGCTGTAAAAGCAAGAAGGAAAGCATACCAGAAGTATTTCTTCTGCCAAGTCTTAGAGCATTCTTCCTGTACCCTCTACTGACATTATACCAGCTGCCAAAAGAGAAATATTTACAGGGTTCAGTTCCAGTATCACAAAACAGGGCAAAGAAGGGTAGATTTGGAGCTGAGTAGGAATAAACTGATAACTGACATAGCTAGGACTTAACTTTTAGATAATGAAAATCTTAAAAGATACCATTCACAGCAGATAAGCAAGGACTGAGGAAGGAACCTAATGATTGATGTATGAGATTTCTAAAATATTATTAAGAGAAATTAAAAAGGACTGAAATAAATAGGTGGATATTACTGTGTGCAAAAGCTGAAGTTGTCAAGATATAAATTCTCTTCAAATTGAGCTATAGGTTCAATGCACCAAAAGGGCATGTACAGAAACGTTCTTAGCAACACTGTTTGTAATAGCCCCAAACTGGGGATAACCCTAATGTCCACCAACAGGAGAATGGATATATAAATTGTGTGTATTCACACCATGGAATACTATACACCAATGACAATGAAGACGCTAAAACTGAATGGAACAACATGGCTGACTCTCATGAACTTAGTGTTACCAAAAGAAGTCAGACTTCCCCCAGAATATATACTTCATGATTCCATTTACATGTAGATAAAAAAAGACAAAAGGTTAATTATAGTGTTGGAAATCAAGATAGCAGCTCTCCTTAGTAAAGTGGGAGGTGGTAGTAATTGTGAGAGGCCACAAGGGGGCCTTTTGAATATTGGCAATGTTCTATTTCTTTTTTTTTTTTTTAACTTTGAGTTTTTATTTAAGTTCCAGTTAACATACAGTGTAATATTAGTTTCAGGTGTACAATATAGTGATTCAACACGTTTACACATCACCCGGTCCTCATCACCTGTTTAACCCCATCCCCCCACCCATCTCCCCTCTGGTAACCATCAGTGTGTTCTCTACAGTTAAGAGTCTATTTCTTAGTTTGCCTCTCTCTTTTTTTTCCCCCTTTGCTCATTTGTTTCTTAAATTTCACATGAATGAAATCATATGGTATTTGGCAATGTTCTATTTCTTGTCCTTGGTGGTGGCTACATAGGAACTCCCTTTGTGAAAATTCGCTGAGCTCTGGATTTGTTTTGTGAACTTTTCTGTATGTATTGAACTCTAATTTTAAAAAAAGAATTATGGCCAACAGACACATGAAAAGATGCTCATCATCATTTACCATCAGGAAAATGCAAATCAAAACCACAATGAGCTATCACCTCACACCTCTCAGAATAGCTAAAATCAATAACACAAGAAACAACAGTTGTTGGCGAGGATGTGGAGAAAAAGGAACCCTTGAGCACTGTTGGTGGGAATGCAAACTGGTGCAGCCACTGTGGAAAACAGTATGGAGGGTCCTCAAAAAGTTAAAAATAGAAATACCTTTTAAACCAGCAATCACACTACTGGGTATTTACCAGTGTATCAAAGGGATACACGCACCCCTATGTTTTTAGAAGCATTATTTACAACAGCCAAGATATGGAAGCAATGCAAGTGTCCATCAATTGATGAATGGATAAAGAATAGTGGTATATATACACAATGGGATATTACTCAGCCATAAAAAATAATGAAATCTTGCCATTTGCAAGGGCATGGATGGAGCTAGAGAGTATTATGCTGAGTGAAATAAGTCAGAGAAAGACAAATACCATATGATTTCACTCATGTGAAATTTAAGAAACAAAACAAACAAAAGGATAAAATAAGAGAGAGAGAGACAAATCAAGAAACAGACTCTTAACTCTAGAGAACAAACTGCTGGTTACCAGAGGGGAGGGGCTGGGGGGGATAGGGGAAACAGGTGATGGGGATTAAGGAGGGCACTGGGCGTGATGAGCACCGGGTGATGTATAGAAGTGTGGAATTACTATATTATATACCAGAGCTGTGGTACCTGTTGGGACAAGTCACAAAGGAGAGCAGGAGGCACCCAGGCCTCAAAACCCCAGGCTGCTCCCTGGCTCTGACAAGTAGGTTGCATTTCTTTACCAAATTATCAACCAATGATATGGGCTTTGTTGTTGTTGTTAGGAAAACTTTCTATGGGCCAGTGGGCTTTTTCCATGGAGAACATTTTGGGGCTGAACTTACCATGGAGATCACTGAGTTCTCATCTGGTAACCACAGACAACAATGGAAATATTAACTACATGTCCAGCTTCCAGGATATCCACATTCAGAAACCTGTGAAAGAGGCAAGTGAAATGAAGCCCCAGTTAAAACCTGACTGGAGCAATGGGGCACCTGGGTGGCTTAGTCAGTTAAGCATCAGACTCTTGGTTTCAGCTCAGGTCATGATCTCCTGGATCCTGGAATTGAGCCCCACATCGGGCTCCAAGTTCAGTGCGGAGTCTGCTTAGGATTCTCTCTCTCCCTCTGCCCCTCCCCACCCCTCACACATGTGCTCTCTCTCTTTAAAAAAATAAAAAATAAAAAACAAAAAAACCCCTGGCTGGAGCGAAACACCCTTCAGACGACCTATAAAAGGAACTCAGTCCTTTGAAAAGTTGGGGACGGGGTGCCTGGGTGGCTCAGGGTCCTGGGATCGAGCCCCACATCGGGCTCCCTGCTCATCGGGAGTCTTTTTCTCCCTCTGCTCCTCACCCTGCTTTCGTGCTGTCTATCTCTCTGACAAATAAATAAAATCTTTAAAAAACAAAAAAAAGAAAAAAGAAAAGTTGGGGAGTGAGAATCACCTAATGGATGGGTGTGGCGGTCTTGGGAAAGGCCTAAGGGGGCTCTCCCAGGTACATCGTGATCTGTTCAGGAAATTTGTGCCTTCTAAGGATAGGCAACATGGAAAAAGAAGGAAAAGCTTCTGCAAGCAAATCCATGTCAAATATGTGATTCTTCTCTGACATGCTGTCCAGCAAAAGGACAGATATGACATCCATTCTTTCATTCAACTCCCCCCTTAAAATACTCAACAGAGTCCCTATTAAACTGTGGAGGAATAAACTTGCTGATGTGACATTTTATGCCTTAAAGACTTGTAAACTTTAGAATCTCTTATTAAAATGGGAATACCCCAGGGAGAATTATTAGACCCCACTCCCCATACTTATTAGTCAACAACCCTCTGGCAATTAGTTATAAGCCTGAGCTGAAAGGGAGCTCATGGGAACTAAGAATGGGGTGATTGTTTGCAGGGGAGATGAGAAAGTAAGAGCAGAGAGAAGAAAACTAAAGTGCAGGTGAGAGAGTAAAATATCCACATGAAGGAGGCTTTTGGCTTCACCTAAGAGGCAGTTTACCATGATGACCAAACCCATAGGCCTTGGCTTCAGGCTGCTGAGAGTCAGATCTCATTTACCAGCTATGTGAACCCTGGGAAGCTTACTTTACCTCTCTGTTTTCTAATCTGTAAAATGGACATAATAATAATTCTGTTCCTTGGGGCTCTTGTTGAGGACACAATGAAATGACCCATGGAAAACTCTCAGTGCAGAGCCTGTACTTGGGTGTTCTCAGTAAATGTTGGCTATTGTTCATCGCTTCCTGATTGGCCTGGGCCCTGTCCCCTGACACACACAAGCTGCACTTGCTTCCACATACAAGAGCATGGTCTTGTCTTCGACTAAAGGGGTTGGTCCTCCAAGGAAGGCCTGCCTTCTCAAATTTCTATCTAAATCACATCCTTTGAACCACTGATAATGTTTTGTGTTTGTTACATTTGAAAATTGTCCTGTGTTATTAAGTCTATGTGTTTTAACATTTAGAACATTTTTATTTTAGGTTCAGTCTACTCTAATTGAAACTCTGTACAGATACCGCACTGACCTGCAAATCATCTTCAATGTCATTGACTCTGATCACTCAGGTAAATGAGCGTTGATTAGCTCAGTAGCAGTAGAAAGCAAAGGCTAATCTGTTTCTCGGAAAGCAGAACTCTGTTTTCATCTGTTGCATTCTTTGCCCAAACTTGATTTAACTCGGGGGTAGGGGGGCGGGAATAAACTCATGTTTAATATTATTATTATTTTAGTTTGTCCAAAAACTGTATTCAAGACCTTACAGTTCCTATAGGCCTCTGTATCTATTAGACAAGAATAGCTCCTTTTATAAGTCACCACACAGATGAAAAGATAATTTCCTGGCCATTTAAACATAGTGGTTACTCCAGGCAATAAAAATCATTCCTGCACTTCTGATTCTGCTTTTGGGACTCAGGGCCATGAGAATTCATTTCTGCTTGGCTTTGAGGCACAATTACTTATTTTCAAACTCTAAAAAAAATTCATTGGATAATCCCCAACTGCAGAGATCACTGAATACCAAAAGGTCAATAATCAAAATATGAAAGTAAATCATTGCCTATAAAACATGGCAGAGCCATTGTTTACAATCCTCTTATTGAGGGCCAGGGTATCTTCTCCCTCTGCTTTGATGTCCCTTTCCCTTAGATTTGAGATCTTATAATTTCTATACCACATAGAGTCCCACAGTCTACAATCTACCCTCTCATCCCTTTGGTGTATACTCATTCCAGGTTTGGAATAATCTCAGGATCACTTGGTACTTGAATGTGACATATTGTGTCTTATATTAACAGTCTGACTTTTCTGTTTCCTTCAGTGTCTCGGTGGTCGGGGCATGTGAGTGAGCTTCTCATTAGGACTATTCAATCAGTATAACTTCACCCCTCCATTAGGTGGGTCTTAAAACCAACACTCATACATTCTTCTATATTCCTTTAGGCCTGATTTCCATGGAAGAATTTCGTGCCATGTGGAAACTCTTCAATAGTCACTACAGCATTCATATTGATGATTTTCAAATTGATGAGCTCGCTGAAAGAATGGACTTAAACAAAGATGGAAGCATTGACTTTAATGAGTTTCTAAAGGCTTTCTATGTAGTGCATAAATTGGATAAGTTGAACAAATCAGATGGCAACTCTCCTTAACAAGAACTAGAGCTTTCCCTCCTGTAAACTCTTGGGCCCAAATCACTGACGCCATCTTTCCAGAACCCTTGTAATTCATAATCAGTAGTAGAGAAAAGTAGACCCCCATTCATACCATGAGCAGATGTATAATGTGGGTTTCTGAAGTCCCCATGAAGCAGTAATTGGTAAAACTAGATTAAATGTCAGCTGATAGGATTTGGCTCCAGTGTTAGGACTCACACATTGCCAGGTAGAAACTGGATTTGAGCCTAGTGTTGGCCTCTTGGACCAGGAGACCAGAGCAGTTTGGAAACATGTTGAAAGGAACCCACAGAGCACCAGAGAAAAGTGCAACATGTGTGAGTGACAGAGGGATGGGAGGAGGAATAACAAACTATTAATGGAATAAAATATGTCCATCTTTAAACTGAATCTTCTTTGGAGACCGTAAACCAGTGATTCTCAATCGTGGGGGAACCACACTTGAGGGATGGGGGCCATATCAGATTCTTGGTGGAAGCTGTGGGAGAGTATTGTTTGAAAAAGCCTATTTTTTCCTATCTGTTGGAGATACAAAGTGAACACAATTCAGATTGAGCCCTAGAGTTAATATCGTTTGACACCTTCATTGGTGAGATGGGGCCTTGGTTATGCATACACTGTGCAATTTATTCTGCTATTCCGATTGCATATCAAACATGATAGATTTCTCTTTAAAGGAGAGTATGTGTTTCATTTTTTTGCTAATTTTGAGAACCTTAAGATCTATCAATATGCCAGGTTAGATATCCACAACCTTACTTGGTACACACACCAGGAATAATGGATAAAATATAACAAATATCGTTTTTAAATGCATAGCTGAGCTGGCAAGAAAGTAATAGAAACCCCTAGTGGGCAAGAAAAAAAAGAGCATAATTAAAACTGTAGCAATACTAACGTCAGACAGGATATAGACTTTGAGGCAAAAAATATCATTAGGGATAAAAGGGGTCATTACCGAATGCTAAGAGGAACAATTCACCAAGAGCATAGAAGATTTATAAACGTATATGCATCTAATAACAGCTTTAAAATTTATAATGCAAAAATGGACATAACTAACTAGGAAAAATTGATAGAGGGAGATTTTTAATATACCTATGTCAGGAATTGACCATGTATATAAAAAAATAGTGTACAGACTTTTGGACAACCCAGTTAGTCCACCTAATTGCAATTGTGGACGTGTGTACAGTTTTAGAGAATACACATTGTTTTCAAGCACACATGGAACATTTGTAAGAGTTGACCATGTATTAGACTACGACACATATCTCAAATACCAAGCAACCAAAAACAAAGATACTACATTCTCTGATCATAATGCAGTTAAATTAGAAACAACATAAGATAACCATATTAATGAGTGCAAAGGAATATAACTGTAGCTCTACCAGAAATTGCTAAAAATAGTTCACAAGAATACTGTGAGTAACCCTTTTTAAAAATAGGCGAAAGGACTGTTTCTTAGAGAAAAATGTAATTTACTAAGACTGACTCAAGAACAAAAGGAGGGTCTGAAGAGACACAACCATTAAAGAATGTGATGGCTTCGCAACGTGTCAGTTTGGCTAGACAAACTGCATTTCTCAGGATTCCTGTTCTTGTGTGTTTCTGGTTGATGTGGGTGGCCAGGGAGATTCTTGAGTGATTGGGAAGGCCAAGGGAAGTAGCGGCCGGAGTGTGGCTCAGCCACACTGTTGCTGAGCTGCTGAGTCACTTTGTTGAGGTCAAGTGGCCCGAAATTGCTCTAAGTTCCACCTGGATCCTCCGTCAGCTTCTTTGATTCCTGGGCCAGGCAGGTGTGTTTAGTTCCGTTGACGAAGGGGCCTGGCTTCTGCAGGTGACCTCATCACTCACACCCGAGGCGGTAAGAAGGATCTCAGTCTGCAGTCCGTTCTTGCGGGAGGCCAGCTTGTCCTCGCGGGGTTGAGCTGGCTTTTCATCTTGCCCTCCTGACTACCTGCCCTGTGGATTCCGAGCTCCAACACCGGGTATGGCATCTTCCTGAGGCTGCTTAACCAGCTCCCACATTTGCGTAAGCCCCTTCTACTGGTTTTATGTATATATAGAACCCCAACTGATACAGAATTTCATACTGAGAGTGGTTCCAAAAGAACAGAATCTTTTTTTTTGAGAGAGCAAGAGCGAGAGCACAAGCAGGGGGAGTGGCAGGCAGAGGGAGAAGCAGGCTCCCCACTGAGCAAGGAGCCCGATGTGGGGCTCGATCCCAGAGCCCCGGGGTCGTGACCTGAGCCAAAGGCAGCTGCTCAACCAACTGAGCCACCCAGGTGCCCCAAAATAACAAAATCTTGATGAATGCTCTGAATGTGTACAACCTGATGTATATAGAGCTTCTGCCCCATTATCTCGCGTGAAAATCCACTGATAATACCAGGATAGTGGTTTTACGAAATGTCCAATCCCTGGCGGTCGAGGATGAGTCTTTTTGTTGCTTCCTGAGTATCATTTGGTTATCTATTCTTGGGTTTTTTTCTGGAACTCTCATTTTCTTCCTTGGGCTTCTAATCTCTGGAATTAAATGCCTTTGTTGGAAATTTTACCTAAAAATGTACTTAGATTTTACTGAAGATTGTTACTGAATGTTGTGAAACTTCTGCTTGAAACACGAGTTCTCCTTAGCCACATTTCAGTTTTATAAAGTATATATGTACAATATAGAGAGTTGTGAAATCTCACTTTTAATTTGTATTTCTTTATTACAAATGAGATGGAACATCTTTTTGTTTGTTGGCCAGTCTGTTTTAAGAAAATGCTGTTCTTTTGCTCATTTTTCTAATAGCTACATGTCTTTTTTTTTATTGATTGCTAGGAACTTTAAAACTCTCCTTGATACTAATCCTTTGTTTATCTGGGGAGCAGATTATTTTCTCCCCATCTGTGACTTTATTTTTCCCTTTTGTTCTGACATAAATATATTTTTAAGGTTTTATTTTAATTCCAGTTAGTTAACATACAGTGTTATCTTCGTTTCAGGTGGACAATATAGTGATTCAGGTTTTTTTTAAGTTTCCTGCTGACATAGATTTTTAAGCAGAAGTCTTTTTTTGTTTAGTTTTTATTTCATAATTCTAAACTGCGGTCCAGCTAGACTTGGACAGGAATAAGGAAAATATGGAACCCATAGAGCTGCAGCGAGAGCTCAAAGACTGTAGGATATTTTGAGCAGATGGGGGTGAAGGGGTGCCCTCCTGAGCTGCAGAAGGAACAGTCTGGTAGTTAAGATAAAACACAAGTCAAATTTATGAGATTCGTCCACAGTCGGCAATAGTGATCTTCTTGCTGGTCTTGCCATTCCCGGCGCCAGAGCGCTCCATGGCATCCACAATATTCCTGCCCTCGCTCACCTTGCCAAAGACCAAATGCTTGCCATCTGACCACTCAGGCTTTGGCAGTGGAGGTGAAAAACTGGGAACCATTTGTGTGGGGGCCAGCATTTGCCCTGGACAAGATGCCAGGACCCATGTGCTTCAGGAAGCAATTCTCATCAAATTTCTCCCCATAGATGGACTAGGCGCCAGTGCCATGATGGCGTGTGACGTCACCACCCTGGCACAGAAATTGCGGCATAATCCTGTGAAAGCAGGAACCTTTATCCTTTCTCCCCAGTGGTCAGAGCACGGAAGTTCTCTGCTGTCACTGAACTTTGCCAACAGCTCACGGGAGCCGCGGGCCAAGGGCTCATGGTCCGCAGCGATATGGAAGAGCGGGGAGGCATTGATGATGCTTGGGTGGTGCAGGAGGCTCCAGGGCGGCGTCTGCAAGGCCCGAGCAGAAGTTTTAAATGTCGATTTACCTAGCCTGTCAGTCTTCTCCATTATAATTTGTGCTTTCTGCATCTTGTCTAAAAAACAAATATTCTTTCCAACCCTGGAAATACAAAGATACAGTCGTTGCTTATAATTTGTGGGTTCTGTATTTGCGAATTCACCTACTCACTGAAATTTGTAACCCCAAATCGATATTTATGGTGGCCGCGTGCAAGGTAGTGAAATTTGGAGTCAAAGGTGTACCGGCTGAGGTCAAACAAGGCAACGCTCTGCCTTCGGGTTCAGTTCTCCTACTGTAAAAAAGCGTCCTTTGCATGGTGTATTTAGTGCCCCCCCCGCCTTTTTTGTATTTTTGTGCTTTGTGTTGGTGATTTCACTGTTTAAAATGATCCTCAAACGTAGTGCTGAAGGGCTTTCTAGTGTTGTTCCTAAGTGCAAGAAGGCCTTGGGGTGGGATGGGGGAGTGGGAAGGGGGAGTGAGATGGTGGGGGTGGGGGGGGAAATGGTCGGGCGAAAACAGGTGTGTTAGGTAAGCTTCCTTCAGGCTGAGGTAGAGCGCTGCTGGCCCGACTTCAGTGTTAATAAATCAGCTCTATGTATGAAGTGAGGTGTCTTTGAACAGAAACACATAAAAGGAGGTCAATTGTTGATGAATTGACGGAAATCTTGTGACCAGAGGCTCGCAGGGCCCAAGCCCTGTCTTCCCCGGAAGCAGAACTTCAGTATTCACAAAACTGTACATTTTAGGATTTCTGTGAAATCTGTTGGATTTTGCTGGGAACTGCCTTAAATTTATAGATGAACCTGGAGAGAATTGACATCTTTACTATATCGAGTCTGCCTCTCCATAAACATGGTGTATTTTTTTCCAATTAGTTTAGTCTTCTCTAATGTCTTTTAATAAAGAATTTTTCATTATCATTACAATCTTTTCAAAAAGATTTATTCTAAGATACATGATGGGCTTTCTCCTATTTTATCTTTTTCAATCCTGCTGGCTCTTTTGTTCGTAGGGTTTAGTTCTTTTAGGATTTGTTTTCTTCCTTTCTAGTTTTCATTTTATATGTATTTCTTTGATAATCTCTTTCTGGCTATTTCTCTGTGTTTAGCGTTCCTGGGGGTATGATTCTATATGCAGACTCTTGATCGGGTTGGATCGTTCCCTCATGGGCTCTGCTGTTTTTTATTGTGAACTCCTCCTTAGCAGGGCTTGTGGGTTTTTTTCCTGGGTAAAATCCCATAATATTTGGGGGTGTGGGCTCAATTCTTCAGAGAAGTTTTTTGTTTGCTTCTGCCTTGGGCCATGGTAGTATCACTGCTTGAGGAATAATTCTGTTACTTTGGAGTCTGGAGTTTCTGAACTATGTGGGTAGAGTAAAAGCAATGTGAATTGTGGTCCTGTGGTTTTGAATTCTCAGAGAGCTTTTCTTTTTTTCCCACCCAAAGCCCTGTGTCCTGTGGTCTCTCTTGTTTTTAAATCTTTTCATAAATAAAAGAGTCCTTTAAGGGTCTTGGCTTTATGCAAATTACTCAGTTCCAATTCCCTCCCTCCCAAAGCTTCATTTATTACCCCTGTGTGGGAATGAACACC